CCTCTTGGCTATGGCCGCTTTCTCTCCCTTCTCGGTCTCTCCCCCTCTGTCCTTCTCCCTCCTACTTCGTCACTCCGTGGTACAGGCTCCGCGGCTATGGCCGCTGTCTTTCTCCTTCGTGGTGCAACAACTTCACAGGTAAGTGACAACCAAACTTGTATCACTCATCTCTCTCTCTCTCTCTCTCTCTCTCTCTCGCGCGCGCGCGCGCGCCATAGCGACATCTTCAGCGCAGCAGGTACGTGTAAACCAATCTTGTATCGCTCATCTCTCTCTCTCTCTCTCTCTCTTTCTTCGTCGTGGCTTGCAGGTGCGAGGCGGCTTCTTCAACCTCAGGTCCATGGCGGACGATCACCTTCGGCAGCCACCTCGGCTATGGCGCATCAGGCCCTGCATACGACCGCGCGCGCATGGAATAGCGGGTACCAGCTCCGATACCAATACAATCAGACTCGTTCTCAAACACACTTTTCATGCATGTAAACAGCAATGCAGCATACTGGCGACATGCGCCCACTCCAAAACTCAGAGATATGGCTTTCAGATACGAGTTCACTCTCAATTGGCTATGGCGACTTCAGCGCCCAAACATCTCACTGTTCACATACACTGGATCACCCTAGATATCCCACATGCATCACTCTAGCACTCGAACACACACACACACTCGCTACTAACTACAGCTATGGCAGCTATCGCTGCATCTAACCTATCGCTATGCTAACTCCCTCTCTCTTGCCCACTGCGTCCCCCGGGCTCATCTGCAGACCTCCTTGCACAAGTTGCTTTGGCAGCGCTTCCGCATGGCTCACGCAGGAATGAATGAATGGCTGGGCGCTGCCTCTTGATTTAAACTTCATAACTCGTTGGTCTGCCCTTTTCCATCGGCCCTTGGTGCTCACAGTCCCCCTGTGGTACTTGCTGGACCGGACTGGGACTGACTGGACCTTCCGCTGACTGACTGTGGACTCACCGCTATCCTACCGACGTTGTACTGCTGTTGTACTGCGGTTTAGTCCACCACTTGCCTCGCCACTTGACCACTTGCCCACTTGCCTACCTTCTAGAAGGTCTACAACTAAGCTTTTGGAACTCACTAAGACCTCTACGCTATAGACCTATAGATCGAACCCCTGCTGCCTATGGACCTACGACAGACCTACCAACTATCTGCGAATACACAGGTCACAGGTTCCATTCTCAGGATCTGTACAGATACTGTACATAGGTAGGGTGAGGTCTAGGGATCGAACCCTGGGTACTGCATCTGCTACTGCTAAAAGGTGAAAACCGTTTCAACTACCCCCCTCTCAAGAGCGAGGTCCCTTCGAGCGAGTAACTCATTCAGAGTCGGCACAAAAGGCATCATAGGCGTAGATCAGAAAGAGAGATTTGGTGAGACCGTAGGGAGTGAGTTTTGCAGAAAACTTATTGGTCTGCCCATCAACAATCTGTCGTTCGTATGCGTTCACAACACGTGGAGCACTCTTTAGCAGTTCTCTCCGGTCGATCCAAAAAAATTCGTTCAGCGGGTGATAGAGGAAGTGAACCTTGTACTGTCTGTTCCTCCCTCTTCCCTCGTGAGAAAGGATTCGGTCTATCTCATGGCTGTCGTCGATAGCGCGAGGTATCATAGGGTCTCGGGAAGGAAAAGTCTCATCATCAATGTGTGGGAATAGTTTGGACGCATGAAAGACCGGATATGTGCGCAGGTGAGGAGGCACATCAATCACATAAGAAGGGCCAAAGTCATCACCAATCACCTTTAGAATCTGCCATGGGCCATAGTACAATGGAAGAAGCTTCCGTGATACGCCCTCTTCATCAGAAAACTCAGACATTTTGACCCAGACATAATCCCCTACTTGGAACTTTGCTTCTTTGCGCAGTTTGTTACCATGTTTGATCATGGCATGCTGACGCTTGTTCATTGCTGCGATTGCAGCTTTGAACAGGCGTGCATACTTGGCATTGTAGCCAGCCAGGCATGTCGGGTGTCAAACCAGGGGACCGTTCGGGGGACAAATAGGAGAGGGGGTTGCGCAGCTGCCAACCATACTGCAGCTGGTTCGGCGTTACGCCCGTCGTAGAGTGAATGGAATTGTTGTACAATCCTTTCACTTTGTGCAACTCCTTATCCCACGTGTTCTGATCTGGAACGATTAGCACACGAAGCAATTGAATGACAGTCTGGTTGATTTCCTCAGCCAATCCGTTGGCTTCGGGGTGTCGACCAGAAGTCTTGTTGTGTTTGATGTCATAGATCTGTGAGGTGAAGTCCTTCCAATCGGCGCTGATGAACCTGGTATCCCGATCACTCACAAGAGTTTTTGGGGGTCCATACTGCAGAATGTACTGTTGGTGAAATTCTTCAATCACTAGCTCAGTCGGTGCATGAGGAGGTAGAGGGATCAGGTTCAGAAATTTAGAAAAGCGGTCCACAATGACCAGAACTTGTGAATTCCCTGCCGCACTCACTTTTCCCATGTCCGTGAAATCGATAGAGACCGACTCCCCGGGACCATCAGGAATTGGGAGGGGTTTCAGCAGGCCATAAGGCTTATGCCTATGGACCTTTGTTCTTTGACAGACTTGACACTCCGCGATAAATTTCTGAGCAGATCCCTTCATTCCCGGTCAATCAAACTGCTGCAAAAGACTCCCGTATGTCTTTTCAAAGCCGAAGCATCCACTCCGACCATGTGCCAAATCCAAGAAATGAGTCCGGAGAGGCGCATGGTTGGGAACACACAAACGGTCAAACTTTCCGTACTGGCGAAATACAAGACCCTCGCATTCGTGAAAATCAGGCTGACTGTTGGGGTCAGCCTGGAGCTGCTCAAGGATGGGACTAAGGTCCGGATCCTTGGCAGTGTGTTCGACCAGATCCTCCTTCAGTTTCCTCCGGAGGTCGTATGAGTCCACAAGGCAAGTCAAGTACTCGGGACGGCGCGGCAAAGCATCAGCAACACGGTTATAACAGCCTTTCTTATGTTTTAGTTCAAAGTTAAAGACATCAATGTCATGCAGCCAGCGGGTCAGCGTTGGAGAAAGATCAGATTGCATCTTAATCCACTGCAAGGTCTGATGATCTGAATAGACCTTGAAGTGACGACCCGAGAGGTAGTGCTTCCAATGTGTGAGCGCCTCGCGCAAGGCGTAGAGCTCACGCATATATGTGGAAGTAGCTACTTTGTGGTTGGGCATGCGTTTGCTGTAATATTCGAGCGGTCGCAGGCCATCGCCATCATCTTGTTGCAGCACTGCACCAATCCCAAACTGGCTCGCGGCCGTAGTGACTACGAACGTGAGGTTGGGATCCGCAATGCGGAGCACAGGATGACTCACCAATGCGTCTTTCAAGGCTTGAAACGCAGTCTCACATTTCTCACACCACACATAGGCAACATTTTTACTTGTCAGTCTCGAGAGTGGGTGAGCAATAACATAAAATCTGGGTACAAACTTCCGGTAGTAAGAGGCCAGACCGAGGAAAGATCGCAGTTCGTGTACGTTCGCCGGTTGAGGCCAGTTCGAATGACCTCAACCTTGGTTGCCTCCGGCTCAAGGCCGTTTGCAGACAACCGGTGCCCGAGATAGATGACACCGTCCCTACCAAACTCAAATTTATCTAAGTTGAGGTGCAGTTGAGCTTCTTTGAGGACTTGCAAAACCTCCTCAAGATGCTTGACGTGCTCATCCATGGACTTGCTGAAAATCAGAATGTCGTCAAGATACACAACCACACCCCTGTTAAGTTGATGGCGGAGTACCTTGTCCATGAGGCACTGAAATGTGGC